AGAGCTGAAAATACTGTATTCTGAGCACTGTGGTCTGATGTCAGGGTAATCTGCCGCACAGGGGCCTGATAGTCTTGAATCTTTGGACTCAGCCCTCCCCTACTCCCACTGCAATGGGTAGCAGTGGCCTCTTGCCAGACAGCAAGAGCAGTCTGCAGTTGCTCTTGACAGAGGGGGTGTTTGAACCCTATGTGACTCGAGTTCAATCCTCTGCTCTGCCATAGCTTCTCTACGCCTCTTTCTCCCTCGAGCAATATAACACGTCTTCCTGTTGTCCATGTGTGGTCAGGGTGGCTACTTTAAAGACTGCGATTTGCCAAACCGCCACATAAATGTGGGCCACTGAAGTGCTGCGGGCAGAGGCTGACCCTTGAGTTGAGTAAGGTGCTAAGAAGCTACCCCCTCAGGATATTTCACATCTCTCTCAGGACGTTTCACAGTCACCCCCAGGAGGCAGTGGCAGGAGTGATCAGCCCCATCTGTCACAAGCAGTTGGGGCAGCAGGTGCCCTGGCCTGGCCGTAACCCCACTCTCCGCCCCAGGCACTTCCGAGAAGAGCAGCTAAGGAGGGCCAGCTCATGAATCAACAGGGGAGGCTGAGGGCCTCCCGAGCCTCTTCCCTACTTTGAGTTCCTCCCTTCCTCTGCTGGTGAGGCAACTTGCATTGGCCCTTCCCCAAATACCCCCTCTACACACCCCCCTGGCTGTGTATGGGCCCTGATACATGAAGTAAGTTGATGTCCCGTGGAGAACTTGTCCCCACCTTCTCCACCGTGCCAAGCCTGCATGAGAGGCTGGGTGCGCTCCTGCTCTTCTTCCCAACCTCCCTGTGCTTCGGGGAGAGCACAGCCCGCCTCCCGAGCACAACAGCGGTGGCAGGAAGTGGCACCTCTCCCTGCGCAGTCCATGTGCGAAACCCTGCAGGAGCAGGGCGCGAGCGAGTGGGAGGGAGGCTGAAATAGAGCTGTTACCTCCAACAATGATAATCTGGTCTCCGATCACGACAGCTGGTGCACAGACATTCTTCACCACTCTGGTCTCCATCCGAAACCACATATTCCTGGAGACGTGGTAAACCTGAAAAATAAATAAAGATACACACGCAGCTGTTCATGCTGCATTTTAACTGGCAATTGTAATTACAGAGGAACTTATGGTTCTTATTTTTGTCTTAATGAGTACAATCCACTGGCTTGAACTGCTGGAAATCCGAGAATTTACCCACTTTTTCTCCTAATATGTCCCCTTGGAAAACATTCTAGTTCTCTGGCCTTGTCGGCTCAGGGGATGTTAGCACATAGCACGGCTGAGTGCATCTGTTAGAAACTAGCTTCTTGGCTGCAGATATTTGTGCGGCCATTAAATCGCTGTAATTCCTGGCTAACGCTCTCCCAAACTCACTTGCTTTCACTTTCCAATTATTCTGCGTACTCCTGCCTTAGCCTATGGCATACCAATTTCTCATGCAAACAAACCTCAATTTTATCTAGCTATGCTGGCAGCCACCTTGTTTGCCCTGTTGCTATATTTGTGCTGGTGGCTGGTATGCACTCAGTTTGGCAGAGAGACTTGTTGATGGGACCTAGATGCTATCTAAGTCATCAATTTATGTGGGAGAAAGAGCCGTTGCCAGATGATGATCGTTCAGTCATCTATATCTGGGCAACACAAACTTTTATGCCATGTCATCCGCTTCTTGACATAGCAAATATCTCCAAGACATCTCCCCGTTTATTGATAACTACATTTCCTTCCCCCTGAGGATGAAATAACGTTATCATCATAACCAAATATTGCTCATGTGCTGGCTGCCATCTTCACCTTTAACGATCCTTCTTAGTTAAAATACCTAAACCAGTGAAAAACACTCACATGGGAAAGTAACATTACAATGTTACTAAATCATCAAATCAGATAAGAAAGAATGTCATATATTTTTTCCTCCTAATATAGTTTAACCACTGAAGGGAGGCAGAGAGCCAGCAACATGTGGCAAGAGGCACATTTTTAAAACAACTGTTTATGTGAAATAACTGTCAGTTTAAGTTCCGACCCTTTGATGAGCGAGAATCTAATCGCTCTAATAATCACAAACCGGCACCTTCGCTCTTACTACGAGTGAACAGATGTTCAGCTGAGACCCCAGCTCAACCACATACCTGCCTAATGGGAAGCATTGATTAAGTGAGAATACTGTGGGCATCAAGTTAGGCACGTGGGTAAGCTTCAGCTTGCTACGTGGTCTGTAGTGTCGGCCTCACGAGCCCTCAGGCCTTGGCTCCAGCGCCGCGGTGGGAAAATTGCCTGTGACAGGGCTGAGTGAAGAAGGGCCGCAGGACTTTTGCCTGCAAAATAATCAAGGTGGCTCTGGGGGAAATGAAGGAATTGCAATGCCAGCTCCCTACATACAAGATTTCCCCAAAGGAACGTTTCAGTGTATCCTGCCTCTTGCTGCCTATGATTCACAACATATTTCATTCAATATTGGGCTTTGATTTCCTCTGCGGGGAGCTGAGCCACTGAATCCTTTAGATGAAACGACCAGGAGGAACAGGACTAGCTGTTACCTGTATCAGCCGGACAGGGTTTTGCATAATGTCTTCTCCCCCAAAGAGGTAGATTCTTTGGTCTTTGGCAGCAACAGCAGGGTGAAGGACAGCAACAGGCATGCTTGCCATGCTCTCACAGGTGTTGTAGATGCTATCATATCTTTCCACAGAATTCAGGATGTCTTGTTTCTCGCCAATTCCACCGAATGATAAAATATAATTGTTGTATGCCAAGCTTCTATGGGAGTATCGTGGAACCAACATGGGTTCAACTGACCTCCACTGATTGAGTTTGAGGGAGTAAATGTAAATATTATCACTGACTGGGCTTTTCTTATTGCTAACGGGCATACCTCCAAGCACATAAATGTTGCTGTGTAAGCTCACTGCAGAGGCTTTGTATAGGCGAGCAGGTAGTTTGGCAAGGCTTAGCCATTGGTTGGTCTTGCTATCGTACAGCAAGACATCCCTTGTTGTCTGCTGGTTGTCCTTTCTGCCACCAACGATGATGAGAAACTCCTGGCTGGAGTACCTGCGAGGAACGTGCAGCATGGGCTTGATGTCAGGCGTGTTGGTGCTGTATAAGGAAAACATGTGTCTCCGGGCTGATTCCAAAATGCTCCTGCAAGTGGGCGAGGACTGAACAAGGGAGTCATTGGCGATGAAGTGGAAGAGGAAGGTTGGATGGACGTACTGAAGCCGGACCTTCTTGAACAAGTCTTGGATGTAGCCTTGCCTCGCCTCGAGGTCATGCCGGATCCAGACCATCAGTGCCTCAAAGACCTGCTCCTCCTCCCCACAGAGCTCGTCATCCCCAAGGTAGTCAATGAGTTCCAGAGCACAAAGGTCCTTCAGCTCCTCAGAAGATGCCACCTCAGGAAAGCATTTCAAAGCCATAGCCTTGGCTTTCTTATTAAGGCTTTGGCAGTTTAAGATTTTTGCCAGTCTAATCATGCTCAGACAGTTGTCAGGAGTCAGCTTGTCTTGGAGGTAGGCAGAACAGGCCTCGAACAACTTAGCATACTGAAGCATGGATGCAGTCTCTAAGAGGTACAGGACATTCTCAGGGGATATAAGAATCTCCCCCGTGTAAACATAAAGAATAATCTGATATAAAATCTCAGAGTCAACGCCCTTCAGGATGACTTTAGGCTGGCAACTCTCTTTAAAGTTGTTACAGAACATCGCCTTGAAGTAGGGACTGCTGGAGGCCAGCACGTTTCGGTGGCAGGGGATTTCAAAGTCCCCGGAGCAGAGGGTAACGTCAGTCAGCACCCCGCTCTGCCGCAGCCCGTTCAGCTGCTTCAGCAGTTCGGAGGAGAAGTCCTGGTCTTTGAAGAGAAGCTCTTCAGCAGATCTTTCCTCCATAGCAAAATCAGAGAGAGATGAATTCTGGACTTGGCAGAAAAAACAAATTCTTAGCAGCTTTTATTGAACTATCCAGCTCCAAGGGAACAAATCAGGACTTTGATGTTGCTCTAAATGTTTGTTCGCTGTTATGCATGAAAATGGAACATGGGTTAAGCACAGTGGGAAACTAATAAAGGAGCTAAAAGGTCACTAAGACCCTTTTAAATTTTCTATAAAGCTATCAGATAGGTTGTAACACTGAGGTCAGTATTGCCTGTATCCCTGGCAAGAAGCAAAAGCGCTGAAGTTATCTTGCTGATTTGGGATGAAAGCTGAAAGGCTGAAGCAATTGGTTTGTTCACTTTAATCACACTGAATAAATGCGCTTAGACATTTATTCACTATTTTAAAGTATTAGCAGTTTAGTAACTTGCTCCTCTTTCCCCTAGAGTTAGTCATTCCCAAAGAATGTAAATCTGGCAGAGCCGAACTCTGCAGCAGGGCAAACTAAACCCTAGAGACTGGGAAACTGCATTAAAACGGTTATTTATTAACTCTGCTTAGCTGAGCTGTGTGCTTTCTTTTTTTATGTTAATTAGACACACAATGACTAAATTAAGTGCCAGGCAGAACAATCTGATGAGTATCTATTTTCATAACTAACAGCTCAACCTGCAGTGAAATCGTACGGTAGAAACATTTACCTTCTGCTGTCCTTCACTGCTTTCATTTACTCTCTGTCGTTTATTCCCTGGTGAGATTTTCCATGGCTAGAGCCTGAATACAAACTATAAACCCACAGGACGTTTCTTTCAGTAGGTGATTCATAGAGGGTGATTTCTGGCCGTGTTTATTCTGAAGTCCCTTTTGCCGCTTTCGGGACCTTTGTGACGGAGCGGCGAGGCGGGGGGGCACTGTATACATTCCTGCGCTAAGAATAGGCACATATGGACTTTTCGCCGTTATCACGTGTGACTCCGCCGTTGCCTTTTGCAATGACCTGCCTGGGACTGAGCATGCCCGAGTGGTGTTTTTCTGGCAAATGTTTACATATAATAAATAGACACGGGGAGGAAAGTTCACTTATAAAAGTCCTGGCTGGCCGTTTGGAAACAGCAACAGGACCCTGTCCTAAAGCGCCTGGGAACTCGAGAAGCCTGTAAACAGTCTGAAACGGCTGGCGTTAGGTAATGCGCCGTTACTTATTTTTGTAGAGAAAGAAGGCCTTCCAGGGGGCCCAGTGGGACAGGCTGTCTCCATCCTAAGGAGACACCTGGGGAGCATCTACCCCTTGAGGTCCTCAACTGCAGGTGGGAGACGCTGCTACCCCAGGACTCGCCCTGCCGTCAGCAGAGCTTGCCCCAGGTAGAGCGGCTGGCGGGCACCGGAGAGTCCAGCTAATTGCTGGGCAGAGACCGAAGTTTGCTCTTCAAGCAATTTATCTTTGTGATGCTGCTTGATACTCTGCATAGCAAACAAGAGTTTGTGGCCTTTTGCATAAGGAGCTCAGCTTTCTTTGAAAGCCTTAGCCAGGAAACTTCCCAGGTGCCTTGGGGAGTTAGGCATTACCAGGAGGGCAAAGCAAAGCAGTTTGCTGAAATGGTATAGCAGGTTGATGTCAGAGCTAGAAAATAACCTCAGTACTTGGCTCCTGGGGTGGCTTTCAGCTCCTGGGGAGACACCTCCACTCTGCAGATGTGAACAAGGTGTCCACGCTCCCAGCGCACTCAGTGAGGTCTAGGCAGTAAAGGGAAGTGCAGAGCGTTATTCGGGTCACCAGCAAGTCCCACCTGCATCTGGGCAGGTGAATGGCTCGCTGGACACCCCCCGATTAAACCTCCGCTGGCTCTAAGGGCTTGGCTGCCTGGACTACACGCAGGCATCTGCATTCGATACATGGAGGTGTCCACGATGATGAGCCTAAATCCACCCCTGGTGCTGCTGGAGACTCCTCATAGCCCTGCTGGGCCCTGTCTGCCATGGCAGAAGGGCCAGGGTCTCCAGCGGGTCCTGTGTCATGTGTGCCGGCTCCATGCCAAAACCCTGGACCTTGCAGGAAAAACAGCAGTGGCTGCCTGTGCCTGGGTAACCAGGTTGAGCCCCTCGCCCGCCCTGAAATCCCTCCCTTTGATTCAGAACGGGATCGAATCCAAAACATTGTTTCTATGCATCGCTCCTACAGGGAAACACAAGGTTAAAGCAAAGCTCCTTCGGCCGTTTTTAAAGCCAAAGCTCCGTGGTGAGTCACGTCTGCATCTGGGCACAGCGAGGTGGACGAGCGAGACCGCTGGGACCCCCTGTGCCCCAATAGCGGCTCCCAGGTGGCATGGGCTTTTGCAGTCCTCCCACAACCACTCGTGTCTAACCCCGAATCCCGCGGAGTCTGGGGCAGGCTGTTCTAAAAACAGCAGCTTTGCAGTGCAGACCATGCCATGCACGGCCTCTCCCAGGGGCGCTTTGGCCCAGCAGAGCAACACGCTAAAAAGCCTGTAAGCTAGACAAAACCCTGAAGGCCTAAACCCGTGCTAGACACAGAGTGGAGTCAGTCTGGCACACCGTTTTGGAGGCTACAGCATCGTCCCTTCCTGTACAGTGCGGGCACAGTTGGCCAAGTGAAGGAGCCACTGGACTTGCCTCCTGTGGATGAGTCACTCTTTAGGAAAACATGGCAATGTACAGCCTTTTCCCGACTAAAAGGATGACCCAGACAATTGCGTTGGGGAGCAGAGAAAAGCGCGCCATCCCCTCCCCGCGCCCTGCCATCGCTGCCTCACGAGCTGGCCAGGATCTCACTATAAATATTTAGAGTGGCATTAAAAACCCAAAGGAGAAGTTCTCACTCTGCGTCCAGAGAACATTAGCTACCCAAACAAACCGCCCTCTCGCGCGCTCTGCATGTATATGCTCTCGTCGTGGCGTGCTGCAATGATTGATTTAGCTCTATGTCTCTGTTCTGGCTCTAACGCTTCTCTGTCTGTTTACTTCTTCTGGCCTCTTCTTGGCAGTGGCCACGGATTATTTTTTTAACCCTTAAAGAAAGTAATGATGCTCTCTGACTTAAGTAATGATGCTGCTTTATGGGGTCGGGGAAGGGTAGATAGGATGTTCTACTGCTTTAGATACTGATAAATGTGACAGTTGCTTGGAAGATCCCAGTCTGGAGGGCTTTGCATGGTTATGCAAACTCCCACTAGCCGGAGGACGGCATGTGCTCATTAACTAGCTCCTTGCAGGTTTCTGCTAATTCAGGGCTGAGATGGCAGAGCAGTGAGGAGCCCGCTGCCTGCTTTGCAGCTTGCTCTTCTTCGCTTCCTGCGAGGCCACGGTTTCAGACACGTCTCCAACCAAACGGGCACATCTGCAAGTTGCTTGCCAACATAGTTACGCAAATTATTTTTTAGTCATTTTTTTTGACTTAATCATGCAGCTGAACCTGCAGTGAATGCTTATATAGGATTACTCTCATAAATAAATGAGAAATAATTTTTCACGATGTATGAATGTAGAATGGCAGCTCTATGGCCCCCAATGCTGCAGTTTCTTAGTGCCTCAGAGTTAAGTGCATTTTCCCTCATGACTCCCAGCGAGGGAGGGAAGAGCTGTTTCTTCCGTGAGATGGTGGCACTTTTCTGAGAAAGTGTGTCCCTGGGCAAATCTTTGAGTCAGGTTTCCTAGGTAAGCGTGCTGTTCACCGAGCAGTTCTTACAAAGGCTTAAACAGACTGGATCTTGCACGGACGTGCGACTGGATCACGCGACTGGGATCTTGCATGGACAATGGCCTGGTCTGAATGCAGTGCCCAAATGGGAAAGTGCCTTTGTTTGCAGGGTTGCAGCAAGTGAAGTCCGATGGCCATAGCATGGGAGTCAATGCTGCAGACTTCCCATAGCCCCTGTGGGAGGCTGGAGTCCCTGGTGCCTGTTAGAAACAGTGACCTCTGCAGCCTTTAGGTTATGAAACCCATAAACGGCCACTTGCTAGAGACTTCAAGTGCCTACCAAGGAACGACCACGTTTCTGTAATGCTGTACACTTACGCTGTTTCTTTAGTATTGCTCAGTTTGGGAATGTGAATGGCCAAACCTTTGATCTGACCCAGAGCAGCTCTTCTTGTGTTTTAATGCAACGAGATGATGAAACCTCTATTATCATGTGCTAAGCAGCAGAGCGGAAAAAAAACGGTAATCTAATCAGCCAGCAGACAGGTGCACGAAGAAGACCGGTGATGTCAGACAGTTTCTTAAGCACATGCACTGATCCTATTACAATTCAGGTGAAAATGAACGAATACAAGCAAGGAAAAAGGAGTGTTCAAGGCAGGGGCTTCCCTGGACTTTTTCAGTATTATGTGTGCTGCCCTAATGGCTACCAGGTCCCCCAGTATCAAGAGAGGAATCATCCCCTCTCCAAAATTCAGTCTAAATAGATTAAGGGACAAGAAAAATTATTCCTTACTATAGCCTTATTAAAACTGGAAGAGGTAACAGCAAACAGGCTTGACAGTCCTTGTTATATAAAATGACATCTTTTATCATAAAAAAGACAAGGGATCATAGTTAATCACATGCCGTGAGCTGGAGCAGGCAGTGAGATATGCAAAGCCCCGGTGGCAGCTGGCCATGAGTATGTCTCCAGCCCATTAGCTCCGGGCTGGGAGAGCTGCCAGCGTTTCAGGGACACTGGGCAGCCTGGCAGCATGTGTACTAGCAGCACGGAAAACTCAGTCTGTGGGCCCCGACTGCGGTAAGAGGGGTACACGACACCATTTGGCTTAGTGTAAGCCAGAGGGGAAAGAATTATGGGAGCAGAAAGGATGATAGGGATTATTAGATTTATGTATCACATACTTACATGTACATGTAAATGTATATAAGAATATACACACAGTGAGAGAGCGAGAGGAGATATGTCTACGTTACCAAACTAAATATGCCCGGAGCACAGGCCCTAGCACTGGCTTATAAGGCTCCACACGGTGAAATTGTTAGCTTGGTCTTTGGCATAGTTTTGGCCCAGGCCGAGTAGTGCTCCTAAAAAACACCCAGGCGTGGGTCAGGAGACAGCACGACGGGGAACCCTTCTGCTCAACGCATGTGTCCGTGCCTTACTCGGCTGGTAACACCTGGAGCCCTCACCCAATACACAGTGTCAGGCCAGGCCAGTGAAGGTAAAGCCATCCCATGGCACAGCACTTGGTTTCTGGCACATCCAGATGCTCCCCACTGAAGCAGCATCCCCGAGTCCTGTCTGTGCTTGCCCAGGCCAGAGTGTGGAGTCACTATTTGCCTTGCTGTGTTGGGAAAGCAGTGCTTCGACCCCACCCTCTAGTTCCCTGGTTTACCTTTCAGCTTCACCAATGGTAATGAAACTCCCCAAACAAGCAAGGAGTGTAGAAGACGTAGAGAGGCAAACCTAATCCCCTGGGAATATATGGAATTGGGAAACGTTCATGTAACAATAAGAAGAAGCCCTTCATACTACTTCAGGTAACAGATCTACAAAGGCTTATTCCAAAGCCATCAAGCTGCCAGGAGCTAGGTATCATTCATTTTTTCCAGTGAGGTAGATCTGTGATCTCCTGCTGACAAACTCTCCGATTCTTCTGGAGTCATTGGAAGATTTACGTTGGGAAGGCCCCTGGGAGCTCACTTCGTCCAACCTCCTGCTCAGAGCAAGGCTACCGCAAAGTTAGATCAGGTTGCTCAAGGCCTTGTCCTGCTGAGTTTTGGCAATTTTGAAAGATAGACATTTCAACAACCTCTCTGGGCAACCTGCTCCAGTGCTGAACCATTCTCATGGCGCAGATTTTTTTTCTATACATCCACTAGGAATTTCCTTTGTTGCAACTTGTGACTACTGCTTCTTGCTCACGTAAAAATCTGCTAACTTCCTTCTGCTGCTATTAGTTGCCAAGTACCTGGTCTTCCTCCTATTTTTTGAAGTCCAGATATCTTTGTGATCCTTCCCTCTCATTTCTCGGTAACTATCGGGTTATTCATTTTCTATTTAGTCGCTCAGCAAACATGATTTCACAGAGGTCACCATCACCACAGCTGTCATTCGCATTGGTACGATACTTGCTTCTGATCTAAGGCTTAATCTGAGTTTGGTTCTGATTCTGTAGGCTAGGTAATGGACTCATTCTATAGACTTGAAAACTGAGCTTAAATTTTGAACCCCTGACTCTTTTGCCCTGCAAAAGAGGCATACGGGCAAATTTTACTCTTACATCACTGGAGAGACAGAGCAACTTCACAAGCTTCACTGCCATCTCTGTAGGTACTGTGCACAGGAAGACATATAGGCAGATAAATATAGCATGTAATTCAGTGATGCCTTTACTGCAAGATGTGTGGATGTGAAATCTGGCTTCTGGCCTGGTTACAGGCCAACCTCTTTCAAAGGCTGAAAGATTAAGATGAAAGCAATTGCACTCTTCCTTCTTTAGTTAGAATGACTGGTTAGTGTTAATTAAAACAGTCTTCAGGCAAAAATAAATTTGCCCGATAAAGTGAGGCACTTCACATTCACATTAAATAAGTACATAGTTGGTTTCAAGGGGTGATGAACTTCTAGAGGTTTCTCAGAAACCAGGGATATAGCTATGGGCACTCTTGTTTGAATTATTTAAAACCAGTCCTTTGCCTAAATCAGGTTCATGTGCATTTCAGACATCAGCTGACTTTTTATCCAAACCGTATCATTCGAGAATGGGTACCTACCGGCTTATCTTGGATTGAACATGCAATCTGACCTCTGAAGGATAAAATACCACTGGGAACACTGGACACCTGAGTAGATTATTCACGTAACTCTTTCTGCAGTCTCTGGTTACAAGATCCCCACGGCAACAGCAACAAGGAGATATGCAGATCCTACGCTTCTCCACACTTTCTAGGTCTGAAAATCAAAACACCTTTGATAAAGTCAAATCCAGAAGCATATGGTTCATTTCAGCTTCAGCCTCTGATATTTTTATGTTTATAGAAATGTTGCCAAAGGGGGACTCAACCTCTTAAATATGAAATATACTGTTATACTTGTGTGATATACAGATCATCATTCTGAAAAGCCTTCCATCTTTCCCATTATCCAATTTGTCTTGCGCCATCTTTAGAGGCTATAACTAGGTGTCCAGATACTATTGCTGTGACGTTGATACAAGCAGGGAGAAAAAGGTCCAGTTCTTCAGAGATACTGTTGTCAATGGGAATTAGATGCCAAAACGCTTCGGGGGATGTAGGTCTGAAAGACCTTACTCCTCACCGTGTAGTACACTCAAAAGAAGGAAGGGGCTAAACACAGAAAAGAGCTCCTAAGCCCGTCTCCTTGACCCAGACTCTCCTCTCTCTCCCTTCTTATTTGTCAGGCCCTGCCATGTTATTTTTAACCAGCATCATCCGTCATATGATTATAGGATCTTAGGGTAGTTCAGCTTGAATGGGACCTCAGGAGGTTTCTAGCCCAACCTCTTGAACCTCTTGATAAAAGTAAGGTCAGCTACAAGATCAGACCAGGTTGCTCAGGGTGTTATCCAGTTCAGTGCTGGAAATCTCCAAGAATGGAATCTGCACAACAGTCCTGAGGCACATGACTATGTCTGTGGGAACAGCATTTTCCTGACTGAACAGCATTTTCCACTTCATGAAGGCCCATTTCTTGCCCAGCTGTGCTCCAGCACCATATCACAGGAGCCGGTGCTGATGGAGACTGCAATTCCTTAGCTCCTTTGTGGGATAACTTAGGAGTTGACTGTGCTAAGGGGGCAATATACAGAGAAATCACTACAACTTTCCTTGGTGACAGCAGGATTTTACTCAGGGCCTGACTTAAGTAATTAATTCACAGCTCCCCGTTTGGGTAAAGAGGTGTGATAATGGGCTGAGAAGAAATTAACATCAATTTTCTCTTGGCAGGACCTGTAACGGCTTGACATGGCATCCTTCAGATTGGGGATAAAAAAGCAGGGAAAAAATGGGGATAATCTTCTGAACTGGAGAAAGACAGTAAGTCTACCCAGAAGACATAATGTCAGAAGATAAAGATTCCTCCACATACGCAAACACAAAGAGGTCAATTTAGATTTAGTTTTTTTTAAAATATCTTTATTGCTTAAGGACATTTGGCAAGATACCCGTAACATAAACCTCACGTCCAGCATTACTTGGCAACATGTTTCTCAGCTGGAAAGAAAATAAATTGGATTTTTTTCTTTCTGCTAATGCCACATTTTTTGGATGCTACTTTGGAAACTAATCAAGAGGTGGCTGCTCAGCATGCCTCTCTGTTCTGGATGGCTTTTTAGCGTATAATAGCCAGCAGCAACTTTCTGAAGTCCCCAGAGGTATCAGATTGGACAGCTTCAGCTAATGACTTGTTGTACTTCTGCTGGAACTTCTCCTTTATTGCTGGCAGGTCACTCTGAGGAGACAAGGAGAGCCTCTTTAGAAGAGTGGGATGTGCTTTGTATAGTATGTCCTGCTTCTACCAAGCCCCCCACCGTCTGATCCAAAGTCTACTGTGCTCACTGGGAGGAGCGGAGGAGAAAGCAGGAGGTCCAGAACCTTGAAGGACTTTCAGGTTAATGTTTGGACTTGAGGTACGGCTGCATGATGTGGTGTGATGATGGGATGCTAGCTGCAAGGAGGGATACGGGTGGTGTGCAGAGCTGAACCAGGGGGCCTGGTGGGCATCTCTGCCCAGCACTCGGCACAGCCTTAGTACTGCACAAACTAGCACAGGTCGCTGGGGCCTCCTGAGGCCACTCTTTGGTGGCAAGAACAGAAAGAAGCACTTCCAGGAGTATGATTAAATGATAGTTGTGTTCTTCTAGCCACAGGTAATTTCCTGGTTGTTATGTGGGGAGAACGAAATACCTTGTCTAGAGTTTTCCTTTGAAAAGGCACCTACGCACAGCTCAGATCTTTATTACTGGGGTTTTTAAGTATTATCATGACCGGACCACATCTTAACAGAGAGACTACCCTGGTGACTAACTTCTGTTTTTCATACTCCAGATCCCTGAGATCAGATACAGATCACCTCCTCACCCCTCCTCTACGAACAACTTCTCCTTTACGTCAAGACTGAAACAGCCCTGGGGTTACAACCTAAACAGCTTATAGGGAAGGAAGATTTAAAGACTGTGTTTAAAATCTGAACTGTCTTGTGCAGTGCTGTTCTTTTTAGAATCACAGTTATCTCCTCTGGCTCTTTATTTTACTTCCTTCCTCCCTTCCTTCCCCCATCTGTTTTTCCCAGCTAGAATCACAAAGAATTGGCAACATATGATTATAAGAAATTCTCCATTTGGGAACTGCTGTTTTATCTTAACCAGGATTACCTTAACTAGGATTTTACTTATGAAGATCTTTCTGGGGCCAGATCTCCCCATGGGCCAATTTGATGCAGGTAAAGTTGAAATTGCTTGCATGCTTTTGTGTTCAGTTCTTTTGAAAACAAAAATAGATGCAATATGTAAATTAGGGTTGCCTATGTACAAAAGCAGAGTGTAACCACTGACTGACGTCAGTGGCTCTGCAGTAATCTGAAACTGGGTTGACTGAGCACACGGTCCACCAGGACTTACCCTGAACCCTTTAAATTTGTACTTCTCCCAAATACAATTTGAGGTACGGCAGATCGCAGGGTACCCTACCTCAGCCCTGGTCACAAGGATGCGAATCAAAGTCTCTTCATCAGTCCCAGCTCCTTTCATCGACTCATGCAGAAGTGTAGCAAAGTAACCTTGGCAGTCTTTGGCACAGCTGACTACAGAAGAACAGTAAGAGGCTTTCTTATACTTGCGTATTTACACTCTGTATTACATTTTCAGTGAGAAGGAAATAAATAAAGAAGAAGTAAAGAAAACTCTTCAGGGTTTGTGCTCAAGCAGACATACAAACAGGTAGGGCTTTAATTCTGTAACGGGTCCCCTACCGGTATGCTAGGAGGAGGCTTGGAGTCTAAATGTGAACATATGTTTTTCCACAGGGAAAACATGCTACGCAATGAAATGATTAGCACCAAATACACTGTTACTCCACAGTGAGAATGTCATGCATGAGAATCAGGATTTGCCCCCCTGGATTTCTCCTTCCCATCTACTCTGGGGAGAGCTGCTTACTCCGCAGCTTGCAGGGGCGAGATACGGGGATCCCAGATGCTCTTCCCTCACTCAGATAAAATCTATAGCAGTAAACCAACCCGAGCCAGGGCATAGGCCTGTATACCGGTCACAGTCATCCACAGTGCTGAATTGCTGTCATGGTCCCTGTATGTCTCTGGGTCTTCTTTGCCTGGCAGTTACGTTTGCTTTAGTTTAAGACTATCTCAATAGCTCTCATCAGACCCCTAAAAGTTAATATCAGATGGAGATAAGAACAAGAAAGGAAAGCTATTGACATATTTCTTTTACCAAGAGTGAGATAGGCCTTCTCCAGATCTCCAGAAGTTTCACTTTTAATGGCTTCTTCTATGTCTTTCCCATGCAGCTACAAGGACAACAAAGAGGAGCCATCAGAGCAGCTGTCTGTACACATAATCCTGCTACCATAAAACCAACATCGGATTTTGGATCCAATGGAAAAAGGCCAATTTAGATCCCTTTCAGCCTTTCTAAGGGAGTAATTCAAAGGCAAAGGAGGTCTTCCTCCGGGTAAACGCTCACAAGTCCACTGGCACCAAGGGTAGAGGCCCTATGAGGTCAGGTAAGGCAGAACAGTTAAGAGGTGAATAACCTAAATCAGTTATACTTGTATCCAGGGGCTTCTATGACAAAGAAGCTGCAGTTTCTTCTTGGGTAACCCTTAGGCAGAAGAAACTGTTTGAGCTCCTTCTGATTACTCTACCAAGGCTCTGGATGGTTCCCACATAAACATGATAAATTTTGGAGCTTTCCCAGCTGTAAGAAGGTTTCTTACTTATTGCCTTTGGGCTCCCAGGGAAAGTTTACAAGCACTGCAGTTGTTCCTGAGTTTCTATATTATTCTGTAGGAAATAAATTGTCAGGCTGAAGAAGGGGAAAAACAGACTGCCACTTCAGAACAGAGCTTATACTCACTTCTGTGAATCAAAGAAAACCCCAAAGCCTTTTACTTTGCTCTGTTTTGCATATCAGGATGGTCCTGCATGGCTCAATGCTGCAATGGACTTTTAGCTCAGACCTGGGAGACCACAGATACTAGCCAGCAAGGGATACCTTCTGAGGGTTTGGCCTTGAGCTCCGCAAAACCCAAGCTCATTTAGATCTGTCCCTATTTATCTTTCCAAATGCAGAGAAGGACTGATGTTTGCATGGCTCTAATCTTGGCCCGTTTCTCCCTCAAACACAGCCAGGCAGGATGTGGATGGATCGGTTTGGGCAATGTGATCTGCTTGGCTTTAGAAATCAAAAAGCCAAGGTATCTTGGATAATATGAACTCCCAGGGTATGGGCTGCTCGGAGGGAGGGAATAGCAGTTAGTGACTGGTTTTGTTCTCTTGCCAGCAACAAACCAAGGCTTGGATTAAACTGTGAATGTATTTCCAACTAAGGGTTCCTTATTATGCTGACACTGAAATATGGCCTTGACTGAAGGCTTTTTCATCTTCAGTGCCTAGGGTTATAATTTTCTGATGATCTTAGAGTCATCTTAGGGAAGTGTGGGGCTGTGAGCCAGGGGCTAGAGGGGAGACCTTCTTCTCAGAATAAATGCTACCGCTGAGCTTCCAGCTAGCTGCCAGGAGAAGGACCTTGCGTCTCCAATGGTTTTGACTTTCAGAGGCAATTTCAAGGCAAGAGGTCTCAGTGGAGGTGAGCTCCAGGCCTAGATATGAGTAAAATGTCACTGGTGGGTGACACGGGGAGAACGAGCAGAGAGTTGTGACCTCACTGCCTACCTTTCCCTTGGCTGGGAGAGGCTCAGAGGCAGAGGACAGCACAGAAAACTACTCACACAGGCTGTCTGGCCAGGGTGGGGAAAGAGGAGGTGGCAGGAGACATGCTTCTACCCTGGGAGAGGGGCTGCTGAACGGTGTGCAACGGTGGAGGTGGGAACCTCAGACACGTGTGGGTCTCGGGGGCAAGCCAGGGCGAGTGTAGACTGAGCCAGCTGTGTACCTCCCTGCTGTCCCAAAAGGATTGAAGCCCCGGACACGGAGGGGCCCACCGTGGAGTAGTGGCCACTTGGCAGCCACCACTGCTCTTCAACCGTGTCTCCCCCTGTCTTCAGAGGAGATGCCGTGACGTGGAGTGGGGACAGCAAGGGTCTGGCAGAGGACGTTGAGTTGGAAGGGGGGTAGGTTAACGTGCTAAATATGTATGAGAGCACCTCTTCTGAAGCGGGGGGATCAGGATGAGTGACCTAGTCAGGCTCTGCTTGGGAGAAGGAGAGGAAGAGATCGGAAGGGCTCTGCTTCAGGGCAGTATGTTGTGAACTTGTCCCTTTTCTGGTCCTCCTGCCGGAGTGGGAATACACATCTTGGTGCAGTTGTGGAAAGAAAAGGACATGATGACGTTTATTTGGCTGGATATTGTGCGGGCTACAAAGGGAAACCAGTTATTTACTGGAAGAAGACGCAGCTTTTACGCCCTGCTTCTATAAGATCAGGGTCCAGTCCTACAGAAATATTTTCCAAGATACTTATAGCACCGAACAATTTTCAAAATGGAAAATAAAAGATTGCCTGCTCCACATGTAGCTGTAGGGTCTGCCAACTACGTGTTAGGCCCTGCTGTATGCAACCCACACTGCAGAAGAGAACAACTCACCTTTTCATAGGCTTCAAAAGTAGCTCTCAGCTGCCGATAGCTTCTCTTTGCTAAGACCGTGTTGAAAGCCAGCTCGTCCGTTCCCCAGCGGCCTTCCCCTGCCTTGAAGATTGCATGTTATTTTGCAGAGCACTTGTTTATCCACGGTGGAAACAGGAAGGCAGCCTGAGCCCGGGGCTTGCAAGTTCCAGCACGTGCCCCCTGCCACGGCCTCGGTGCTCTGTGTGTGTGGCCGCCTCGGAGGCAGTGCGGAGCCCTGCAGCACCAGGCAAGGCGGGGGTTTCTCCACAATTGCACTTACTTCATACAGCTCTCTGGCATCCTGCCCAGCAAGCTCGGCATTGACCTCTTGGTCCTCATCTCGGTTTGCCTGCAGAAAAGGACATTACGTTAAAAAAAAAAAAAAAAAACGCCAAGCGCTGGCCGCTCTTTGCAGTGGAAGGGAGGTTTGTCAGCCCAGGGCCCTCAAAACCCCTTTGGTTATAGCTTTGCTGCCATCTGCTGACAATTGGCTACTAATTGGGCAGTTGGGGCCTTGGCACTACGGGATTGAATGCTCTGCGTGGGGTGATCGCGGTCTTTTGCAGATGTTGGTGGCGAAACCTGTGCGTTACCCAAGGTGGGGTGTCTATCCTACAGTTCCATCCGTGTGGGGTGCCCACCGGGACGTTTCTTAGGATAGCAGCTGCCGTATCCATCGTTCAGCTACAGAGAAAATATTCCCAATACTGGAAGTGCTGTCGCTTTTGACAGCCCGGGGTAGGCCCCGAGAGCAGCAAAATGTCCCTCTGTACTTGCCTCACTAATCTATGCACCCCGAGTGTTTACTAACACTGTAGTTCCCGATCGAAATCATGAAGGACTTCTCCACATATAAACCCTTTATTTGTCACTCCTGAAAATACTCCCCAAGAGGCTGAACAGAGCTGTGCTATATCACTGCTTTCCACAATGGGAATCTAGTTGCAGTGTATTTAGCAATGTGACTGTTGTGCCCTGAAAGTTTCTTGTATTTACTGAATTTTTTCATCCCTCGGGGCTGTCTGCTGAGGCTGTCCACCACACTGATTCCTGCTCGTGTTCCTCCTCTTCTCACTTACAGTCTTCCTATGGAGAAGTTAATTTCTGTCCTTATTTCAAGCTGATGTAAACTAAAGTGCACTCTTACTGAAAATATATTTCTCCCTTGCGAATGAAAGAATAAGACGAGGACAAGCTCCTACTACTTTTTCTGTATTTATCTATCTGAGTTGCAGATTCCTCAGTGGAAATGGAAATCACGTTTTGCTGGTTTTAGACAGAAATCAGCATAAGGCAGCCCTGACCGTGAGTGGGTATTCCAGCCATTACCACGCTATAAATAATAGTAAAGCCACAGTCTGTCCTCTTCAAGGTACCAGAATTTATAAAATTACCTATGATTTTACATAACCCCTTTAATTATATTAAAAAGCTGTAAACACGGAAGGCTCTTTCCCTGATGAAAGCCTTTTGCTTGTTATATCTACCTCACTATTACCTTACTTATTGTAATTACCAGCTAATACTTATTAGCATTGCCCAGGGCAGAGAAAAGAAAATGTCTCTGTCACGTAGGTGCATAACAGGACCGCCCCCAGCCTTACCTCTAGCACAGCGACTAATATCTTCCTCATGGACCCACCAGTGTCGCTTTTAATGTCAGCCTCTAGATCCCTGTCAAAGACTGTGGAGAAAGAAGTCCGTAAGGGCTCTCTCAATGCTGACAGCGTTCAATGAAGGTGTGTGAAACAAAATCTTACTTACGCCTTTTGTACGCCTCCTTTATGCTTACGATTTGCTAGGCGAACGAACAAAAAAAACAAAACAAAAACAAATACAAATAAGCAAACGAGCAAACACAGCAGCGGGTCGTCAGCACGCCGGCGTTTCCCGAGCCCGGCCGCCGGCACCGCTCCCACCCGGATCCGATGCTCCCCTTGTGCAGGCGTCTCCCCGGTTTTCCTTGCATTTGGGCGTGAACTTGTGAAGGAGGCGCGCGTTCCCGTGCCCGGCCCATGCCGGAGGGGCGCAGAGGGCTCTACAGTTGCCTGTCAATAGACTCGGGGGATCTGCATGCCATGGACGTTGCCTCTGTGCTGTCCGAGGGAGATGTACGTCCGGCAAACGGGACCGAGGAGCGAATTTGAATTGTATTGCTCCTAAGTCCTCGCCGAGTTTCCACCCCGTACGGCTGGCTGGCAGCCTTCGGGCTGCAGCCACCGACGCGGACTTATTGCACAAGCTGACATTGCTCTCGTCCCGGCCCCTCGCGACCGCACAGGCGCGCTTTGCCCCGCCACCTAAGGAAGGTTGTGGGTAAAAACAAGCAGGCCTGTCCCGACCTTGTTGTTTTGCGTGCAGAGGATCTCGATCAGCAGCGACTCGTCCGTCCCAGCGCCTTTCATCGCTTTGCGAAGCTCTCGGGCCTCGTATTCGCAGGGAAGATCCAGCAGGGCCAGCACGCTCTTTTCGAAATTCCCGCTTAGGTCTCCCTTCAGCACCTCTTCCAAGTCCTGCGAAGGCAGCCGGAAGGGTTACTGCCAAAACTGAAGTGCGATTAGAGAATGTATTTATTTGTTTATTTGTTTCAGGTAATTTAATGATTTCAACGTTTCTTCCGTACCAAAAGGGAACAATATCAAAAAAAGTATGAAGACCCGTGAAACACACGGACAGTTTTTGCAAATAAAATTCCCTAAAAATCATTGTTTTATGTTGACGGAAATGATCCCCTCACCTCCAGATATCAGCAATACTGGAGCAGTTGTAAGTATTACTTGTTGGAAGAAACGCAGGCTAGTGTTTTAAAAGCTCGACAGAAGAAGCTTTGAAACACAATGTAGGATCTCCTGCTCTGAAAAAGTTGTAACAAAGGAATCAAACTTACTAAATTTCTCTTTTAATTTTTCTTAGAATTGATTTCTTGGGAAAAGCAAAACATTTCTCTGAAGTGCTTTGCTTCGCAGCAATTAGCATTTTCCACCAGAACAGAAAAGAAAAGAAAAGAAAAAAAAAACCCTTTCTGATGTGATCTACTTAATTTAAAAATTAATAAGACCCTGGAGAAGAATTAGCTACTGCATATGTGTCAGCTGAACATTCATGCTGAGAATTATTTCTAATGATTTATTTTAAGCCCTATCTGCAGTTAACATCTCCTGTCGTACAGGAAGTCTTTGACAAGTTCAGATCATAAATGAAAAGAAAACCCAACTTTAAAACTATTGTTCTCCAGCGTCCTCTTACGTGATCGCAAATTAACGCTTCATCTGTTCCAGTAGAAGACTAACATCAAGGCTGAAGCAGTTTAAATGAGCGCATCATGAACCTAACTTCTGTGACCTGTTACAGGCTAACAAAACCGGGATGTTTTACAGAATCTGCTCATTTCTAATGCATATTTTTATTAATCCTCCTTAAAGAACTAATTCTGTAGTATTCATGCAACCAAAATCCTTCACACGCTTGTTGTAAGGTTTACAGACAGCAGGCTTTCAGGTTCAGTGATGCTTGCCTTAGTAACACTGATTAATGACTAATGTGCAAGCAGACCATAAAAAAGACCGATTCAGTAATAAGCCCTGTAGGATTTGGGTGTTTACCTAAATAACACATTGGAAGCTTTAACTTTTCCTATCTGCCAAGTCGCCAAGGCAGTCAGTGTTTCCTCCTTCAGAAACCAAGCGCCCAAAGAGATTTCTCAGTTTTGCAATGTGCATTCTGCTCCATCACTGGAATTTAAACAATGCTAAATCCATTTAACTCAATACAGATATAATGGTGTAAGATCAAACAGTGCCTCTCAATTTGCATCTGGTCTTGGAGGGATCCTAACTGGGAATTCGCCTGTTACATTAATTGCATTTATGCTTTTTTTCAGACTTGTTTCCCGTAATTGCGCTGCAGATGAACACAGCCGAAATGTTTTTGATTTCATTTATGAATTATTTTCTAGCTCTGCTGGCTTTGATCTGGTTGAGGCTGGTTTCCATTTTGAAGAAGACTCTGAGGCATAAGATTATTAATAATCATTATTTTATGAGATAAAAGAAAATACTAAATCAGAAGCCAACTGACGCCCTCTTCAAAACTACTGAGCCCTCGGTATTTTCCAAAGTAGGGGAATGTAGGCTATATTTCTAACAAGCACACTATTTGAAACAAAGAGGCCATTTATTTTGAAATACCTTGCCAAATGCAGCCTTATACTTCCGTTTTATCTGTTGCCTCTGCTCCGATGTTCGATTTGACAAGATTTCAATAACTGTTTTTTCGTCAGTTCCTAAAAAAGAAGTTGGGCATACAGAGAATTTCATCAGAAACCTAATGTAGCAGGAAGAAAATATGATCAAGTGCCCCCTCTCCAAAGAAAAGAATATAAATATACATATATCCACCGGTGCCAACTTTAGGTTTTGTAGCATCTAAGCTTCTTCTGAGGATATATTTATCTGTAGTTGGGTATAATGCTGAGAACATAAAGTGGAAGTTCACCATCTCGTGCTGCTTAAATTTTATCAGGGGGAATTGAGCCTTCTCCATTGAGCCTTGTCCTGTTTAGCAGATCAGACGCTGTCTGCTCCTAAACTCAGGGTGTGGAGAGAACCCCTGGCCTGCCCCAGGGCCGCGTCCCACAGGAGACATTGACTTAGCGAAGGTGATGGGAAAACGCCCCCTGACTCCAGCGGGAACGGACGCACAGCCCCGTGCCCTGCTCCGTCGCACCTAGCTTTGCAAGGTTGCTTGGACGCCGCTCGGCCACACAAAGCGCCTTATTCCACCATTTAGATCCTCAGATCCGGCTGTGTTTAACCCTAGATGCCGAAGCTGACACCAGCGAAGCTCTTTCATGCCACCTGAGCCATAAGAGCACTGAGCTGTGTCAGGCCTCAGCTGCACGCCCCGTTGCTCTGCCCGCTGCTCCCGCAGCGCTCAACGTGGGACCACAAGCGCTGTCGGCGGGACGCAGCCCTCACCGCTAGCCCAGTGGCCGCCAGGCTGGCTGACGTGCAGGTTTTGGTGGCGATGCTGGCCTGAGCGGTCTCTGCCCCTTCACCACCCTCTTCCCTCCGCACTTTCCGGCTCTCGTATCCTGAATCACACGGCACTTCCAGCCTCCCATGCCCAAAACAGCAAATCTGCTGGAGAAATAACCTTTTCCTACAGGCTTGCTTGCCCGACAGGTCCGTCTCCTGATCTGGTGTGGGAGCGCGTGTGCCATCAGCACAGAACGAATGGCACAGGATGAGAGGGGTGGGTGGGGATGAGTGACTCTTAAATCAGCCTCATTAGCCTGCAGCCTGAATCCACGGCCTGTACAAAACGCGTTGTGCTTTGAATCACAGAATCACAGAATCACAGGATCGTTTAGGTTGGAAGGGACCTCTGGAGATCATCTAGTCCAACCTCCCTGCTCAAGCAGGGTCCTCTAGAGCATGTTGCCCAGGATCACGTCCGGGCGGGTTTTGAATATCTCCAGCGAAGGAGACTCCACTGCCTCTCTGGGCAACCTGTTCCAGTGCTCTGTCACCCTCACAGCAAAGAAATTTTTCCTCATGTTCAGATGGAACTTCCTGTGGTTCAGTTTCTGCCCATTGCCTCTTGTCCTGTTGCTGGGCACCACGGAGAAGAGACTGGCCTCATCCTCTTGACACTCCCCCTTCAGATACTTATACACGTTGATCAGATCACCTCTCAGTCTTCTCTTCTCCAGGCTGAACAGGCCCAGCTCTTGCAGTCTTTCTTCATAGGAGAGATGCTCCACTCCCCTCATCATCTTTGTGGTCCTCCGCTGGACTCTCTCCAGGAGTGCCATGTCTCTCTTGTACTGGGGAGCCCAGAACTGGACACGGTACTCGGGATGTGGCCTTACCGGGCCTGAGCAGAAGGGGGAGCATCATCTCCCTCGACCTGCTGGCAACACTCTGCCTAATGCAACCCAGCATACCATTGGCCTTCCTGGCCACAAGGGCACATTGCTGGCTCATGTTTAACTTGTTGTCCACCAGCACTCCCAGGTCC